TGACAGGACAGCACAGTGTCAGTGAGACACAGGCCACTGACAGCACAGTGTCAGTGAGACACAGGCCACTGACAGGACAGCACAGTGTCAGTGAGACACAGACCAGTGACAGGAGAGGGCAGCACAGTGAGACACAGACCAGTGACAGGACAGCACAGTGTCAGTGAGACACAGACCAGTGACAGTACAGCACAGTGTCAGTGAGACACAGACCAGTGACAGGGCAGCACAGTGTCAGTGTGACACAGACCAGTGACAGGGCAGCACAGTGTCAGCGTGACACAGACCACTGACAGCACAGTGTCAGTGTGACACAGACCAGTGACAGGGCAGCACAGTGTCAGTGAGACACAGACCAGTGACAGGGCAGCACAGTGTCAGTGTGACACAGACCAGTGACAGAACAGCACAGTGTCAGTGTGACACAGACCACTGACAGGACAGCACAGGGTCAGTGTGACACAGGCCATTGACAGGACAGCACAGTGTCAGTGGGACACAGACCAGTGACAGGGCAGCACAGTGTCAGTGGGACACAGGCCATTGACAGGGCAGCACAGTGTCAGTGTGACACAGACCACTGACAGGACAGCACAGTGTCAGTGTGACACAGACCAGTGACAGGACAGCACAGTGTCAGTGAGACACAGACCAGTGACAGCACAGTGTCAGTGAGACACAGACCAGTGACAGGACAACACAGTGTCAGTGAGACACAGACCAGTGACAGGGCAGCACAGTGTCAGTGTGACACAGACCACTGACAGGACAGCACAGTGTCAGTGTGACACAGGCCATTGACAGGACAGCACAGTGTCAGTGTGACACAGACCACTGACAGCACAGTGTCAGTGTGACACAGACCACTGACAGGGCAGCATAGTGTCAGTGTGACACAGACCAGTGACAGGGCAGCACAGTGTCAGTGTGACACAGACCAGTGACAGGGCAGCACAGTGTCAGTGAGACACAGACCAGTGACAGGACAGCACAGTGTCAGTGTGACACAGACCACTGACAGGACAGCACAGTGTCAGTGTGACACAGGCCATTGACAGGACAGCACAGTGTCAGTGAGACACATCACTGACAGGACAG